CTCCCCCCCCCCCCGCACACAGGCGAGCTATTCAAAGAGCGATGGAAAAATAATTAGGTGACGAGTGACGGTAGCTGTAAAATCTCTCTGCTATGTTTAGGCGATAGCGATACGAAATTAGTATACGTTCTGCATATTGTATCACGTCGAGTTATATCATAAAAATGCAACTCCTGGAAGGTCAAGCCTTGCACCGAGCGTGGGGGAAGGGAAGTTTTATGAACTGGAAGGCGAAAAAAATCGTTTGACTGTAAGCAGATCTTACAATAGGATTATGTAGTTTCCCTTGCAGTGCATAAGGCTGTACAGGAGGGGGTGGAAAGTGGAAAACCCTACACTGGAACAGATTAAATTTTCCAAAAAGGGTTTATTTCTTATCTTCTTCTTCAGAGAAGAAAAAAAAAAGAAGAAAAAAAAAAAAAAAGAAAGAAAGAAAGAAAAAAAAGCGCGCCAGCACTACAGCCTACAAACACCGGCTGCTAAACTAATTAATACAACTTCGCAAGCCGCTCCTGGAAGTGTGAAAACTTTCTACGTGCGATTTCATTAAATATAAATGCTTTCCTGGCCGGAAGAGTTCAAACATAGTTTTGCAAGACCGTACATCGAGTTACTTTATTTTCTATTAACTAGAACTAACAGATGTTTCTGACACATGTCCCAGTTTCGCTTAACAGATCTGCAAATGACATTTCAAAATGTAGAGGCCGAAACAATACCAGGTTTTCTTCTCCTTTTTTTTTTTCCTTTTCCCTCCCGAGAATCAGAACCTGCAGCTCCCCATATTTGCGAATGCGAGTCGTTGGAAGGCAATGCTCATTAAAAATGTCAGTGTTATTCAGATCAAACATTTGAAACTCCCTCTGCCCAAAACAAAACTGTTGAACGAAAAGGTCGCAGCTGTGTTATTCTCACAACGTTCGAGCAGCAGCATCTCAGAGACATCAGTCAAAACTGACTAGACAAGTTGTAACTTCTATTGTTCACTTTCAATTTGTGAGCTTGCACAATGATTTCATTTTTTTCCCAAGTACTTTAAACTGCCAAAAAAAAAAAAAATCCTTCCTGTGTGAATAAGCAGAAATCGTAGCTATATCACTCGGTATTTACAAAGATCTACCCGCGTTAACACTACAGCAGCCTCTCTGCACAACCAGAAAAAATATGGACGAGAATTCTGAGATTTGTTCTCCTTCTCCTTTTCCCTCCTTTTCTCCCCCCTCCCTCCAAACGGTAAAGAAGCAAACAAATATGAGAATTTATTTTCCAGAAGTACTTGGCGTGCATTCAATGACAACACAAAGGATAAATTAAAAAAAAAATAAATAACGAAAAACAGTATGCTGAATAACAGACAGAGAGAGTAAAGAGCTTTACATACTGACCTGTATGAGTTCTTTTGTGTATTTTGAGATTCTCTGATCTGGCAAACACTTTGCCACAGCCTGGGAAAGGGCAGGGGAAAGGTTTTTCGCCTGTGTGGACTCTGATGTGATTTACAAGTTTGTATTTGGCCTTGAAAGGTTTCCCTTCTCTCGGACACTCTTCCCAGAAACATATGTGATTGGACTGCTCGGGTCCTCCAACGTGCTCCACCGTGACATGAGTCACCAGCTCGTGCATCGTGCTGAAAGTTTTCGAGCATAATTTTTTGGGAGTCTGGTCCAACTCAATCCACTTACAGATGAGTTCCTGTTTGATGGGCTGCCTCATGTATCGAAAGAAGGCCCCCGGGCCGTGGTGTGGAGCCAGATTCACGTTCAGATTCATGCCACCGTAGCTATGAAGTGAAGAAGCAGCAAAAGGATCTGTCCTGGAGGCTGGTACTTGAGTGAAATGTTCAGACCTGGCGTACATTTCTCCAGGTAACCCCAGTCTTATCTGTCCGTTTAGATGGCCACCTGGAGTTGCATGGGGAGGCTGCTCATGGAGTCCAGTGAACAGAGAGGGATTCCCAGCTTCTGAGTGGTGGTGGTGACCATGGTGTCCAGGGTAGCTACCTGTTGTTGAGACAAACAGTCCGCGATCAGAACTTGCAGCGGGGTGCTGCTCGGTCAGCCCTGGCATGAGTGGGGCCGGCAGGTCTCTGCGGATGAAGAAGTCCCTACCTGCTGCCAGAGCCTGGGCTGTGTGAGACACAGAGTAAGGGGCTGCCGGTGACTGTGCCGGGCCAAATGCTCCCGTCTGACTAGAGACCACCTCGGTTTGGCCTGCCATAAGATGATGATGATGATGATGATGGTGGTGGTGGTGGTGGAGCTGGTGGTGGGGATGAGGGGCAGGGCTGAGCTTAAGGGCCGCGGGGTGATGCTGAGAAGGATGAGGAGGAGGATGGTGACGGTGCCCCATGTGTTCTGGCCGGAGTGGTTGCGGCCCGAGGCGGGACTCGGCGGCGTGCTGCCCCGGCTGCGTGG